AGGCCATAGATCTCGACTTCATCTGATCCTCTGCGTAAGTTAGACACACAGAAGTCCACAAAACGTCAACGGATGACGCTTAATTGGGATCACTCTCGCATACTATCTGACTACTCTACGCTCGCAGCTTATGCTTCAGGACATATAGTAGTCATCATTTTCGGCTCGCGCACAATCAGAGACCACGAGTGATCGCCTCACTCCAACTTAGCAGCTACACCGTTCTCTCAGATTAAGTCAGCCGCTCAGGAGTGCGAGTCGATCTCATGTTCCTAACCATATATATACCTTTGCACCGTGGGCTCGTGAGTGTATCTGAGGCTCGCTCAGCCTGTCGTTGAGTGGTCCGGCGTCCTCTGTGTGTGAACGCGGATCGCTCTCTCGTGTCGTGCGATGCAGTCCCGCACCGCATGACTCCCTAGACCCGTGCGATCCAGTGGCTCTCGCTCGGTATATATAGTGGGGAGAGTTGAGAATATATACTGTAGCTAGTAACCTACGGCTTGCAGCCTTCGCGTGATCTATATTCGTGGGTGGTCCCCTGCCTCTAATAGTTTGACATCATCTCTTCGCACAGCTACCCACTAGCCAAGTCTCTATAAGCTATCCTCCCTGGGCCTCTGATAGAGAATGTGATAGTCTCTAAGACAGAACTTCTCCGAGTTTGCTGGTGCCACCCCCTCCTACAAATATTCCGCCCTTGGCTTGAGTAGAACTCTCTACATAGTGCAGAGGCTACGAGTTCATGCTGCGAGGGCTCCCTTGGCATGAAGGCTTATAATAAATGAAAAGCTCTATACAAGCCCGTCAGATCACCTTGAGGTGGCTACACTCCGAGCCCTGTATCAACATCCAGCGGCATAGGCTGCGTAGTTAGATTCAGTTGCAGCGCTCCTTACATTAGATAGAAGAGAGATATAAAAAGAATAAGATAAGATAGTAATTGTCATGCGATCGTGACTCTCTGGTATTAGACCGTCCTAGTATGCGAGAGTCGATACACGCCCTTCGTTGTGACTTCTTGTGCCTTCAAGATACAGAGAGCAAGCGGACCTGGTCGAGGTTATAAGCGCATGCGCATTTTCCGCAGCGATAAAAATGGCCGACTACGCATTAGCCGTACAATGGTGGAAGCGCTCTAGCTCTGCAACGGAGCATTTTCAGAGAAAACCCCGACCTTCGTCGCCTGTTGGGTAGATGGTATCGTTTCTGGGACGAACAGACACCCGAGAAGTGAGATTGAGAGTAACACACAGACAGACAGACAGACAGACAGACAGACAGACAGACAGACAGACAGACAAACCCAACTACTGTAACCCTCGCTGCGACATTGGCCCTTTCTACGCATGCGTACTCCATCTGAGCGCGCACACACACGTACGTACGTGTACGTACACAGTGCTAGTGTCGGCGAATAATGACCATCTACAAGGACATTTTTACTGGTAAGGTTTGGTGGGGTTGCTAACCCCTCTTTGGTGGGCTTGCGTCATCGTAGAATGCAAGCATGCAGCTAGTTGCAATGGCAATGACATAATGGGAAAGATGCGGCCGTACGTACGTACGGCGGACGTGTGACCCAGGACGACACTGACTTACTTTACGAACACATAAGGCTATATAGAGCTAGTTGTTTATGTATCATTACGTCTGACCTGCTAATGGTGGCCAAATTCATTTTGTAGCGGAGTCTCTCTGATTACCTGCATTCGTCAAATTTAGACATTATTTTGTTGCTGCTAATATTAGGTTATGCAATGTTCTCTGATGTATAGTGTGGATAATGTTTTATATGAAGTTGAAGTGAAGGTAAGTTTATCTAGCGAACATCACAATACCAGAAATACTGCCTGTTTGGCAGACAGACATGCTGTAAAACGATTGTTTTTTCATGTACAAGTGATTTATTTTCTGCAATGGAGCTCGTAAAACAGCTTGTTTCGTGCGTATCCATGGCAACTCATGGAGACTTAACACTACTTTACCTTGTGATATGTGGTCATGCATTCTTTATGGGGCTTACCTTTACCACTGACCATGCTACATTATAACAAGTAAATTAAAAATCCTGCAAATTTAAAAAAAGAGGCATAATAGAGATGGTATAAAAAGAAAGGGAGACAAGATAGGGATGGGATACATGAAGCATGGTTAATGAACAGTTTTGAATACGCTGACATCCCCAACCCCATCACACAATCCCTATAATATTGTTGCCTGGTGTGCTACTCTTATAGGGGCTAAAGGTTACTAAAAGCAAGCATTCTTTCACCGTGTCCCTGTTGTTTTTAGTAACATTTATACTGCCACATTCCCTTAAACTCCAATTGGACTCTATAAGGGTGTTGGTTACTCAGAAGTGTATTGTAAGTTCTGAGTATTGTAATGGTGAGTGTTTAATACTTCACCTAGGCAACAATATAGGGATTGTGTGATGGGGTTGGGGGTGTCAGCATGCTCAAAACTGTTCATTAACCATGCTTCATGTATCCCATCCCTATCTTGTCTCTCTTTCTTTTTATACGATCCCTATATGCCTCTTTTTTTAAATTCGCAGCATTTTTAATTTACTTGTCTCACTCATTTTTATATACTACTACATATTATCTCTGTGGAAGGGGCAAGAAAAAATGCCTGTTGTCGTCATGGAAAAGATATGCATACAATGTTTCATCTCCATGTGTGCTGCCGTTAGCAAGTTTGAGGAGTGAAGAAGTAATTTTAAACAAAAGTGGCTGAGGCTATTTGCTGTTGTGGTCGTCATGGAAATGATGTAATACACATGCACACCAAGTTTCACCTCAATGCGTGCTACAGTTAGCAAGTTTTAGGAGTTAAGAAGTAATTTTAAAGAAAAGTACCTGAGGCTATTTGTTGTTGTGGTCGTCATGGAAATGATGTAATACACATGCGCACCAAGTTTCACCTCGCATGCGTGCTACAGTTAGCAAGTTTGAGGAGTGAAGAAGTAATTTTAAAGAAAAGTGCCTGAGGCTATTTGTTGTTGTGGTCGTCATGGAAACGATGTTACACACATGCGTACCAAGTTTCATCTCCATGCGTGGTACCGTTGGCGAGTTTGAGGAGTGAAGAAGTAATTGTAAAGAAAATTGCCTGAGGCTATTTGTTGTTGTGGTCGTCGTGGAAACGATGTTACACACATGCGTACCAAGTTTCATCTCCATGCGTGGTACCGTTAGCGAGTTTGAGGAGTGAAGAAGTAATTTTGAAGAAAAGTGCCTGTTGTTGTGGTCGTCATGGTAACGATGTAATACACATGCGCACCAAGTTTCACCTCCATGCATGCTACAATTAGCAAGTTGGAGGAGTGAAGAAGTGGTTTTAAAGAAAATTGCCTGAGGCTTTTTCAAACAAAATGCGGTCGTCATGGAAACATGTAATCGCCATGGAAATGATATATAGGCAAGTTTCGTCTCTATGTGTGCTACCATTGGAGTGTTTGAGGAGTGAAGAAGTAAATTTAAAGAAAGTGCCTGAGGCTATTTGTTGTTGTTTACAAACATGTATTGTTGTGATTTTGATGTTGGTAATTGAATACATTATGTCTACCAAGTTTCGTTCACATAGCTCTTACCATTATGTGAGTTATACTGACACATGTGATTCCATTATAATGTACTGCCTGGGGCTATTTGTTGTTGTTTACAAAGAAATAAGTATGACCAGTCTCTTCGGGTGATGGATATCTACATTCTTAAAAAATTTCATTACTTTATGTTATTTCGTTTTTGAGTTATGGGTGTTGAATCTGAAAAAGAAGAAGAAGAAGGAGAAGATGAACAAAACTCCCTATCATAGCCCCATACATCTATGATGCTAGATCCCTATATACTAAGTACTACCGTACTTAGTGATTATTGATGAAAGGTATGGCTAACTCATGTAAAGTGGCTGCTCTTAGGAACATGCAGTTCACAAACCTGGCAAAAATGATCACTGCATATTACAGATTAGCGCAACCTTTTGTAACCGGCAGACGGACAGACAAAAATGACTACAGTAACCGTCAAAGCTTACGCCTCTACCCACTGCGTGAAGTTTTGGCCCTCGAGACAGGAACTGAGGGGGAAGGCCTATATAAACTGCCTTTTACTGATTAGGGGTATTTATAGCTTGTTTGTTTGTTAGCAACAAAGTGTGTGCTTTTCCATAATTCTCCAATCACCCTTCGAATGAGAATCATCAATCTCCCGTCCTTCATCCACACAATGACTGTATCTGTACGAGCCATCCTAGCTTATTCACAACTTGCATCTTGGAACCACGAAGATTGGAAAGATGTTCAGCCTCGGTCAGGCATGGAAGTGCGCAGCGAATGCTGCCGAATTACAACTTGCATCTTGGAACCACAAAGATTGGAACGACCTACAGCCTCGTTCAGGCATCGACAAGTTCAGCAAATGCCGCCGAATGGACGAGAGTTCTCTCACTGGCTAGATTGTGCATCGCAGTGTGTAAAAATTTAGAAGTGCGCAATCAAAACACATGCACAGTTGGACGAGGTACAGTTGTATAAATCACGCTGTTCGGACCACTAGGTTTGCTCACTCCCGCTCGTCAATTATGATGCCAATGTCTGATAACACTGTCATATTTATACCAGTCTGTTACCGTACTGCTTGCCTATAGGTAACTAGTTGCATGACATCTCATTACATTAACCCTCGGCGTACATGCGCAGCGAGGGTTCAGTGCTTGGTCTGTGTGTGTGTTTTGTCTGTTTGTCACCAGCTATATTTGCACTACAGGGTACAAGGCGGTCCATGAGTGATACCAACGGCTTCAGAAGTAAGAGAGCCTGAAAAAAAAATCACGTGAAAACAAGCGAAAAAAACACTGCATAATCAGCACTCCTTCACCTTGAAGAGGTTGTGTACCGTGAAGGGATGAACATACTTTGGTGATGTCTATCCAGTCAAGCATTGTTCTAAACGCTATATACCCACTGATTCACTAGTCTGTGTTAAAACTGGACTGGCCCGTACCATCAATTATTCAACGCTCGCATCCTAGGGCCGAGGGTTTGTACTTTAGTGCTTTTCATGAGTCTCTATGCAGGTTGTTCAAGAAACAGATGGAACAGAATGCAAAGGATTGTATTAGACTTGTGTATTAATATGACACACCATTACTGTACATGGTTTATTCAGAGATAACCTAACTACCAAAGCGCTGAACCACCCACTCTTGCTGGCAGAGTGGGCAGCGATTGTTCTGTTTGATCCATAGCTGCATGCAGCAATTGTGGAAAGAGTGGTTGCATTCTCCCCAAACAACTGAGACAGGATAGAGTTGGAATCAACCTAACTATACATTCATTCTATTGCAACCTACCTACACACTCCTCTTGTTTTCCCTCTGTTTGGCATCTCAAGCAGGCGTCTGTGAAAATAAAGAATAAACTCAGTGTCTACTGCAGAACGATTACAGTGGAACCTCTGATAATGGACAATTGGAATAGAGGACAGCCTTCCAAATGGCATGCCCCTTGCCGACAGCCATAGCTACACGCTCCATACATTTTGATGGAAAACCTCACACTAATAAATTACCAATAAACAAGCAGAAGACTTGCTCTCTAAAAGAGACAAGTACTGACAGTTATGGTCATAGGTGGTGGGAAGGAGGTGGTGAGCTGGAGGCATTCCAAAACAGTCTGCTAAGCCGTAGCAATATTTCACGAAACACGGATGAATAGGCTCACTATCCACACAAGACGGCATGGCCAGCAACATTTTATATGCTTGCGTTGTACATGCAGACCGAGTGAGTGGGGAAAACAAAACCCCGGCACCCTGCTGTCTACCGATGCTCATGTACATTGAACAATGTTCAGTACAGCTACAGGCACTGTGCAGTAGAGAATTACATACCTGGCTACAAACAGAAACGTGGATCCACTCTACTTATTATTAAATGCAGGGGCCTGGGTTAGCAGCTAAGACAGTAGTTTAGGCCATCACAAACATGACTTATTAATCCCAAATCTCTCTGCTAAACCCTCGGCATGCATGCACCGTGAGGGTTATAGTATTTGGTCAGTCTGTCTGTTAGTCTGTCCAGACCACAAGGCGACCTGAGCGATAGAAAGGGCTTCAGATCTATGTGATCTTGAAAACTAAAATCGTTGTTTTCCTGAAATGACTGCATTCCAAGAGACATGGCATGAAAATAAGCGAAAAAGGCAACATGAGGGCTTACCTCAACCTGCTTGGAGGAACAAGAAGTCACAACGGAGGGCGTGGTATCGAGTCCTGCATGCTACTATCTATACAGCCCGCGTCAGATTAGTAAGATAGAGTAAATGGTACTCATAGCCCAGCCCTTCAATTAGTGGTACCGCACGTGCGCAGTGTGCCAAGGGTTGATTAATTGTGTCATAGTGACAATAACATGTCTGTTACTTGACGAAACCTTGAGAAGTGACTAGGTTCTTAAAAAACTTTCGGCACAGCATTTCCTTCTAAAATTTTAGCATAAACACAAATATCTAATGTATATTGACTGAGCTAAAAAGGATGCCAAAAACCAGCCAAAAGAGGCATGGACAGAAACAATGCAGTCATATGCAATATGCTACAGTAGCACGGTAGTACCCAAACCCTTCCTACAATCAAACATTCGGCCAGTCATAGACCTGCATGCACTCAAATCCTTACCCATAACTTGTACTCTACAGATGGCGCAAGTGTCACACTCAACGTCCCACTGCCACATAGCAACAGCATTCCATTTCTTTAATGAGAACGGTGGCCCACTAGAGAGTTTTGTCTTGGGCTTGCCACCACTTCTAGTTTCCTTCTTCTGCTGGTCATCGGTGCTAGTGTCTGCGGACGTGTCCATCACACACACCTTGACTCCTCTGGCCTGGTGGAGACTTTGGTTAAGAGGGAAGTTATAACCCAATGCCGATTGATGGACTGCCTGAGAACAATGACATACATTGACATACATATTGGCAGCTCTTCTTCTTTAAAGAGCTGTCCTGCGTTAGTTGACTTGTTAAATGCTTTTGCTTTGCCTTTCTACCTCGCTACCAAGTTGTTGAGACATACATGTATTAGTGAGTACATAATAATAAACCAAGTATAACCACCCCCGTACGTATACCTACCCTGTCCAAATGCCCAACATTGTCTGTTTTTTTTCACTGCCCAGCCAGATATGCTTCGGTTATGCAACCACCCGGCATTTTCCACACAAAAACAGACAAAACGAAGAGAGGGTTTCAAAAGTACAAAGGGGGAGGGTGTGGCTACACCAGACAATGTGTATGTACCAAAACAAATGCTTGAAATAGCAAAATGTTAGGGCTGGCAGTGATACTCACATGAAGTCCAGTCAAAATTTGATTTGAAGGAAATCACGGACTTTGCCATTCAAGGTTGCCTTGTTTTTGTGTAAAATGCACAGGAAAAATACGCTGTCCACATTACACTGGAATGCATCAAACTTCATATAAAAAGTTATATACATATGGGGAAAAACTTTATCCAACGCTTGATTTCCTCGGGAAATATCCAAAGAAGCCCTGATACAGTTCATCAAAACAACAGATATCCTCATGAGAGAAAACGTGTTGTCAGGGTTTGTGTCTACCCTTATGCTAGGTTCTTTTACATGCATGATGATACGAGCTCATCACCGGGGCAACAAATCAAGGCAAACTAGAGAACCTCTCTGTATCTTAACCTTGGAGTACACTGGCCTACGCACAGATAAAGCAGTTTCCCGACATGCTGACTTGCCTGACCTGACCGTCGATGAAAGTGGGTGCCGTAGCTATAGACCCCTAGCCCCTGTCCCTCCAGCCGAGCCTCCAGCTTTGGAGGCACCGTTTTGATGACCTTTGATCCCGAGGCGGCAGGGGAAACCCCCAGACCGTGTCCATACGCGCATGCGCTGTAGCAAAAGGATGGGTTGGCGAAGACCTACCACGGCAACTCAACCGAGAACTCAACTGCATCACTACCAGCCATCCAGCTTTTTGCTTGATAATCAAGCAAAATACTGCCTATCCCACCAGAAAATCACCAAATCCCTCGTTTTGTGCTAACCTGTGATGCATCATGCCCATACATTTTGAAGCAGTTTTCAAGCTAAAAATACTCCATATCAAGCAAATTTGACACATTTCTCAAGCAATGCAGGTTGGTAAGTATGCAAACCTCAAACTGACTGTGCGATGCATGCCAAGTGTATTCCAGATCAGGTTGACAAAGACACCACTCTGTATGTATTATAGCTAACTCCCCGTTTTTGTATGTATTATTGTTTTTTTTCACTTTTAATCTCCTTTTCTATATAATTATCTGTCCACCTGTCTCCCCTTTCATATTTCGTTGCCTGATCTGAGCTCCCTACTTTCATTCTTCCTGGTTACATTGGCATTTCCTGCATTCCATTATGTAAATAGTCATCGTCACCTGGTCATCTTTATACTCCCACTGAAGAGGACTGCAGCTGCAGTCGAAACGTCTGGTGATAGAGTACTTTTGAGAAACTACATATTGCCAAAGACACCCAACTCCATATTATGCCGATGTGTCAACGAGGTAGCACAAAGGCAAACCCAACTACTCGCAAATCATGGGATCAACTACCATAATTATCTACTACTTTTTTTCTCTGGTATATAGCTACCCACATTACTCATTTGTGCATGTCAATGAGGCAAAGGCAAAGTATGTTGAGAAAGAGTTTGGGGTGAGTTTTATCCACCAGCTGATGGTGCATAGACAGCAACTTGCAGTAGTCGGTACACAAGAACCAGTGACTAGACTACTCAGAGCTTTATTCACACTCAGACAAAGGTCTTTAAACGTGAATCGTGTATTTCTTGCATTAATGCAGATGTTTGCTTCTCTGGGGTCATAAACCATGTCAAGGGGCTAAGCATACAACTGCAGTTGTGACAGAATACAGAAATATAGCTTACGTAAAATGCACTACAATTACATGCACCGTCAAACTAAGTAGTTTTCTTGTAGGTCTTGTTCATCTACTAGTACTGTGCATCACTGTCATCCAACAGGGGCTCACGCAACTCCACAACGGTAGATGTTATGATTGGTTTCTGTTGTGGCGTAGTGACACCTGGGTCGTCAGATGTCAGCTGAACTGATTCGTCATTTGTGTGTAGTTTGTTCTTCACATGTACAGTTACACTGCTCACTAGCTTCGATTGACGGAAAATCATAAACAAATGATAGATCAGAATGCCAACAAATGTAATCAGTGCTATGCTTATAGAAGCATTAAAGTAGGGGGCTTTATCGCTTTCTTCGTACTTTTCACTGGCATGAACATGGTATATAGATAGAGCCAGTAACCCTAGATTCACAAAGAAAGAAGTTTCAAGCAGGTAAAGTGGCCACTTACGATAGACCCTTCCAACCCAAAAAAGACAGAAAAACACTACTCCCACAATAGCAAAGAGCTTGAAAGAATATGATTGGTCATAGGCCACCCCAAAAGCATCCACGACTGCAAGTATGATACGGAAGAGAAGTAAGAGTCCAGTCCAGTAGCGATGTCGGGCCTTGTATGGGGCAGGATAAGTGTCCAAAAATGCTCGTAGTTTAGTGTTGTTAGCCCACGAGAGAATTCTCCAGTGAGAAAATCGCTGCAGCCACTGGTCAAAGAACAGAAGCAAAGTGTACGGAATGAATAATACCACAAACACGAGCAGAGCAAACACAAACAGAGCTACGTGTTTTCCTGACTCCATCTCAATGTTACCGTCAAGGAGCCACACACGACTACTTTCGTCCGGATATTGTAAAACTGTAACTGAAAAAGCGGCAATAATGGTGCGAAACACCTTCAAATACGAGAGAAGGAACAGCGTTGCCAGGACTGCCACAGGATTGGAACCAAGTAACCTTGTCACTCTGATGGAGCGGCTGCTCAGAAAAATAATGAAGCCACACAATGCCCAGATGTAAAATGGGAACACAAACTGAAGCCACGTCTTTCCATACGCATCCATCCCATCATAGAAGCACGTCTCAATGCCCAAGTCCAAGTTGAGCCAGGCAATGAATACTGACAATATATTGGTGTGTCCGTTAGGAATAAAGACTGTCACGGTTAACTTGTACTATGTTAGCAAAGAAGATCAGTCCACTCAGAGTCCCATAGTCGACAGTGAGTCGGAGGAGGAAGAGAAACACCAGGAGAGCTATTCCAGCCAGAGAGAAAGGGATGAGGAGAGCAAGATAGGCATTACTACACCTGCGACACTCTGAAGTTCCTCCAAACACTTCACTGAGTCCAGAGCTACATTGTCCACAGAGGTGACCAGATCGGTCGTGGTCACACTGTAGATCGGTGTTGTTTAGATCAAAGATTACGTCTCTTCCGTTGATGCAATAATCAAAGGGGCAAGGTGATGAGTGGATGATGAGACCGGATTTGTTGTGGTATCCCACCCAGATGTTACCAGTGTGTTGTATGGTCTGTTGGTTGATATCACAGAAGACACCGGTGAACTGCTGCAGTCTCTCGTCACACTGGCAGCTATTACTAGACAGTACAAACCCTGGGGGACAACTGGTAGTGAATTTGATTCGGAGAACTAGGGAATGTTTCATATCACACACATTATCTGGAAACATACGTACTAGCAAAGACGGCTCAGCGAGGACAGGCAAGGAAAGGCTCACAGTAGTACAGGTGGCATTCATGCTTATTAACCCCATGGTTGACCCTAACACTTCTTCTCTAAACACTCTTTGTTCATCAGCTACATATTTCCCATGTACTGCTCGAACCTCCGCAGGAGTAGCGCCCCACAAATCTCCCACGGCCAGTACTTGAATTGTCAAATTCTGTCCAGGAAATATCATCCCAATATCAGTTATACCAGCACATGTTGGTCCATGGAATTCATCAGCATGTGGGCAGCATGCAATACCAGCATCATTACAAATACAAACCTGGGTTGGATCTGACGAAATAGATGAATGAGTACGATTCTTGTGGTATACTTTAACATTTGAGCTATTGAGGAGTGCACTAGCAAACGATGGTCCATAGGGGAGTCCAGGGGAGCCCTCAAGGTTTCCACCATAAATATCATCTCCGGCTAGCACTCCTTGATTATTGGAGAATTCAAGAGAGAAATCTTTTCCCAAAATGACAAAAGAACAGACCAAAATATCTGTCAAACAGGCTCTAGCACCAAACACATATATTGCTCCACCACGGTTCCCAGCAGTATTACTGTCAAACAAAACACTGGCATTATTGGCTATAAAAATATAGCTGTTTGATGACATCACTATTGCTCCACCAAATGTAAAAGCACTGTTATTAACAAACCAGGTAATGCCTGAGAAAAACAGCGAGCTATTTCGAAGAGTGATTTGCCCAGAAAGTGCTTCATTGGAACCAAATTCGCTTAAACCTTCAAATGACAACACAGATGAAGAGGCTTCAATAGAACTACCATTATTTCCTCTAAAACGGTTGGCTTTAGTTAGTCTCACTTCGCTTTTTGCAATCAGAATCAAAACAAATCCATGATCATATCCAGTGTTGTTTGTGAGCACATTACCACTTATAAACACAGTTGGGCTCTGCCATATGCCAATCAAAGCTGCACCACGGTCACTGAAAAAATTCCCCGAAAAATTATTATTTGCCAAAATCAGCTGTTCAACGTATGAAAATACTAATAGGTCATCTGATATGTCATTCTCCTTCACCTCTAAATCTATTACAAATGCACGAGAAGGGATTCTACCGAAAGTGAAACTTCCGCTGCAGTTAGTTATGATCAAATCGTAAAAATACACATCAATTGCGTTTACGACAAAAAGGACCAATTTCGGTAATCCAGTGAAAGAGAGAGAGTGTATTTCCACAACACTGGATTTCACTATAGTAACATTATTTCTCAGGTTAATGACAACAAAAGATTTATTCCCTTCAGTTCCACTCATTGTGAATTGATTGACTGCATATACGAACAACTCACTGTCCAGGAAATGCTCACCAGGGAGAAATTTCATAAAAACCTCTGGAACAGAAGTAAAATTGAAGTATAACAGTGAGAATTGAGCATATTGCGAGAGGGTGTAGCAAGGATATGGGCAGGAGGTATTGAATGGTAATCCAGACTCCGGCCTAACATAGAATATATTGCTGCTGTTGACACATGACACTGGCTGTAACACAGCCACCAGGGAGCAAAGGATAAACAGCATGGGATGCATCTGTGGAAATGTGAAAAGGGCAGACTCAGCTAAGACCTAAGAACAACACAGTGCTTATAGTATTGCTACCATGAAATTATAGTTCATAGCATACCAGCCATGTACATGTAATGGGTAATCAGGTATAAATCTCTCTAATGAAGGGGGATTAGTAATAAGACGGGCCCAAGAACTAAAAATGAGATGTATAATGGTACTATAATACTGGTGTGCATGAGACATATTACACTGCCGATCCAGAATAGCTATTGCTGCTCTTAAATTTTAACGATTTTCTGAAACTTTGAATTTTA